TGTACTTGTCCTGTTAGATCTCAGCACTGCACAAAACAGAAGTTATAGTCTTTGGACCAGAGTCTCTGAAAAAGAAGCTGATTAGCCAGTCACTTCATTTGGATGGGATTAAACTGATTTCAGATAATAAAGTAAAACATCTTGGTGTTATTTTTGATCAGGACCTGTCATTTAAATCCCAGATCAAAGAGGTTTCTAGAATTTCCTTCTTTCATCTGAGGAATATTGCAAAAATGAGCAATCTCCTGTCCAGGGGTGATGCTGAGAAACTAGTCCATGCATTTGTTACTTCAAGGCTGGACTATTGTAATTCTTTACTATCAGGAAGTCCACAAACTGTAGTTAAAAGCCTTCAGCTGATCCAAAATGCTGCAGCCAGAGTTCTAATGAAAATGAAAAAGAGAGATCATATCTCTCCTATCCTGGCTTCTCTTCATTGGCTTCCTGTTAAATCCAGAATAGAATTTAAAATCCTCCTTCTCACATATAGCCTTAAATGGCCAAGCTCCATCTGATATAAGAGATCTGATTGTTTCTTATGTTCCTAACAGAGCACTTCGCTCTCAATCTGCAGGTTTACTAGTGGCAGGGTTCGTACGGGTGCTGGAAATCCTTGAAAATGCTTGAATTTTGACGTTGTGTTTTCAAGGTTTGAATAGTGCTTATATTTTGGATGAAATGCTTGAAATTATAACTATTTCTTTTGCAACCAATACCTATCTAACTGAATTGTGTGTTTATTAAATGGAGAAATACAATTTTGGAGAGCCTGAAAATGAAACCTGCTCGCTTATGTGTGACTGCGATCTGCCAGTCTATTTCCACGTGTGACTCCGCCCACATGAAACCACTATGGCACCATGCCGGGAGGTTGGCATTTCAATGAACGTTGGCTGGAAGATGAAAAATACAAATTATGGATTAAACGGGGACAAACCCCACGAGTTTCCTCTTGTAAAGTCTGCAAAAAAGATGAGCAGCTTTTCACAATGGGTGAGTCTGCGCTGTCGAGTCACATGAAGGGTAAGTCATAGACTTTTTAAGTAAGCCAACTGAAGTAGCCTAGTACACGTTAACGTTAGCGCCTATTTGTTTACGCTAGTAACTGCTAGCTAGGAATTACCAGGCTAAGTTACTGAGTGACTGAGAGTACGGTGTGATAATGTAATGTTAGTATTGAAGTGTTTCCCGCAGCACTATCTAAAAAAAAGTTTTAATTCATTGCCAGGCCCAGACCTTCAAACAGCATTGATAACTCTACGGCTGATAATACTGAATTGCGACACCCTCTGGTTGGTTATATTACTACGCCATGGCAGAGGGACCTTGGTTCATCCCTCGTTCCCTCAGAGGGACCTTGGTTCATCCCTCGGTCCCTCAGAGGGACCTTGGTTCATCCCTCGGTCCCTCAGAGGGACCTTGGTTCATCCTCGTTCCCTCAGAGGGACCTTGGTTCATCCCTCGGTCCCTCAGAGGGACCTTGGTTCATCCCTCGGTCCCTCAGAGGGACCTTGGTTCATCCCTCGGTCCCTCAGAGGGACCTGGGTTCATCCCTCGGTCCCTCAGAGGGACCTGGGTTCATCCCTCGTTCCCTCAGAGGGACCTTGGTTCATCCCTCGTTCCCTCAGAGGGACCTTGGTTCATCCCTCGTTCCCTCAGAGGGACCTTGGTTCATCCCTCGGTCCCTCAGTGGGACCTGGGTTCATCCGTCAGTCCCCTTAGAGGGACCTCGGTACATCCCTCGGTCCCTCAGAGGGGTTCATCCCTCGGTCCCTCAGAGGGGTTCATCCCTCGGTCCCTCAGAGGGACCTTGGTTCATCCTCGTTCCCTCAGAGGGACCTTGGTTCATCCCTCGGTCCCTCAGAGGGACCTTGGTTCATCCCTCGGTCCCTCAGAGGGACCTTGGTTCATCCCTCGTTCCCTCAGAGGGACCATGGTTCATCCCTCGTTCCCTCAGAGGGACCTTGGTTCATCCCTCGTTCTCTCAGAGGGACCTTGGTTCATCCCTCGTTCCCTCAGAGGGACCTGGGTTCATCCCTCGGTCCCTCAGAGGGACCTTGGTTCATCCCTCGGTCCCTCAGAGGGACCTTGGTTCATCCCTCGGTCCCTCAGAGGGACCTTGGTTGATCCCTCGGTCCCTCAGAGGGACCTTGGTTCATCCCTCGTTCTCTCAGAGGGACCTTGGTTCATCCCTCGTTCCCTCAGAGGGACCTGGGTTCATCCCTCGGTCCCTCAGAGGGACCTTGGTTCATCCCTCGGTCCCTCAGAGGGACCTTGGTTCATCCCTCGTTCCCTCAGAGGGACCTTGGTTCATCCCTCGTTCCCTCAGAGGGACCTTGGTTCATCCCTCGTTCCCTCAGAGGGACCTTGGTTCATCCCTCGTTCCCTCAGAGGGACCTTGGTTCATCCCTCGGTCCCTCAGTGGGACCTGGGTTCATCCGTCGGTCCCCTTAGAGGGACCTCGGTACATCCCTCGGTCCCTCAGAGGGGTTCATCCCTCGGTCCCTCAGAGGGGTTCATCCCTCGGTCCCTCAGAGGGGTTCATCCCTCGGTCCCTCAGAGGGACCTTGGTTCATCCCTCGTTCCCTCAGAGGGACCTTGGTTCATCCCTCGTTCCCTCAGAGGGACCTTGGTTCATCCCTCGTTCCCTCAGAGGGACCTTGGTTCATCCCTCGTTCCCTCAGAGGGACCTTGGTTCATCCCTCGGTCCCTCAGTGGGACCTGGGTTCATCCGTCGGTCCCCTTAGAGGGACCTCGGTACATCCCTCGGTCCCTCAGAGGGGTTCATCCCTCGGTCCCTCAGAGGGGTTCATCCCTCGGTCCCTCAGAGGGGTTCATCCCTCGGTCCCTCAGAGGGGTTCATCCCTCGTTCCCTCAGAGGGACCTTGGTTCATCCCTCGTTCCCTCAGAGGGACCTTGGTTCATCCCTCGTTCTCTCAGAGGGACCTTGGTTCATCCCTCGTTCCCTCAGAGGGACCTTGGTTCATCCCTCGTTCCCTCAGAGGGACCTTGGTTCATCCCTCGGTCCCTCAGAGGGACCTTGGTTCATCCCTCGGTCCCTCAGAGGGACCTTGGTTGATCCCTCGGTCCCTCAGAGGGACATTGGTTCATCCCTCGGTCCCTCAGAGGGACCTGAGTTCATCCCTCGGTCCCTCAGAGGGACCTGGGTTGATCCCTCGGTCCCTCAGAGGGACCTTGGTTCATCCCTCGGTCCCTCAGAGGGACCTTGGTTCATCCCTCGGTCCCTCAGAGGGACCTGGGTTCATCCCTCGGTCCCTCAGAGGGACCTGAGTTCATCCCTCGGTCCCTCAGAGGGACCTGGGTTCATCCCTCGGTCCCTCAGAGGGACCTGAGTTCATCCCTCGGTCCCTCAGAGGGACCTGGGTTCATGGCGCTGTGGTCTTAGATCATTTCTCAGTGGGAGAACGCTGCAATCATTTGCTCTGTTATATTTTTATTGTTGTTAAATAGGATGACTTTTACAGCATTTTCACAGGATGGATTCTGTTGCCCTTTGAATTAAGGTCACTTTCCAGGGCAAAGGATTTTAACAGCAATATATGTCATTTATCATATTTATAATGAAACTTTATTAAAAAAACAGCTAAACAATTCAGACCTTCTAGGAGTCTGTAGATTCTATTCAAAACTCACCATGACAGGAGGCAGCACTACTCTGGATGTTTCATTTGGAAAATAGAATGGAAATTAATATTCAATGGACCAAAATAAGGATAAAGGAAAAAGAAAGTAATACTAAAAGTAGAACAGTGGTTATTTACTAGCTAAGCAACGATTTTCTCTAGAATTCTAGAAGAGAAAGAAAGATTAGATATAGATCTATAATAGACATGTGGGTCAGGAGGCGGCGAAGCTTTGCTGGGAGAATCAGCATCATTCCATGAACCCATTTAGTGGTTTGCTTCTAATTCTATTCAGTTTATTTCTATAGTTCTAGTTGGCTTTATAAACCAGGAGCTCTTCCTGCTCCCAACTGCAGCAGTTAGCTGATAGTTGTCAGATGACATCCGGGTCGGCCATGTTTGGACCGGTCTATCTAAAGGCCAGCTGTGGAGAATGCCGGCGCTTCGTTTGGCGTTAAGCAGCTCCTGAAGCTGCAGTGCGTAGACGTTCAGCTATGCAGCGCTGATGATCAGCCAACCGATCAATGCAGCAGTAATTCATAAATCCTGCTTAATAGAATGAGGCTGAGGAGGTGCTGATTCAGGAGCTGCAGCAGAGCAGAGCAAAGGACTGTGGGTAATAAACTGTGGGCAGTCAGACGGGTGAGCGTCAGGCTGGAAACGCCGTTCATGTTCAGGTATCCTGATGGGCGCCACACAGTCCATGATGGCGTTAGAGCGGACCTGAAGGGAGGAGCTTAGATTCTCTGAGTGAAGAAGTGAAACCTTCCTGCTGATGTGCTGCAGGAGGATCTCTGCGCTCTCATTTCCTCTGTGGTTAAACTGGTTCCACTGTCACCATCTGGGAGGTTCAGGTTGGACACATGACTGTTCCCTGTGTTGCCAGCCTGTCCTTCATGGACCTTTCCATGATGGCTCCCTCTTCCAATGTGAACCAGCGTCATGGAAAGAGAAGGAGATCCTGTGTTTTAGTCCTCAAACCCCATCGGGGGTCAGAGAGGGTGAACTGAGAAGGGTTGCTTTGAGAAGAGAGCAGCACTGGGGGGCAAAACTGGCCCCTCTGCTCCAAACATCGGTTCTCAATGTCCAAAAGTCCTGTCATGGTTTATGGTCCAACGTGTCCAAACTAATTTCAGGAACAGAGGGACGTCAATAGCGTAGTTCAACTTTTAAAGCTAAAACAGAACTGCAAGTGCTAAATCCCTGTCCGCCATGTTTACATCATCCCACCGACTAGCAGAGTTGGTGAACATCTGGCGGCCATGCTCGTTGCTAACGCTGGGCGGCTGAATGTCACTGTGAGCTAAAGTGATGAGGTTCCTTCTCCATCCTTTTCTTCTTCTCTGTGCTCGTCAGGCATCAGGTGCCCAGTGTGCTCCAAGAACGTGTCCTCAGAGGAGATGGATCTGCACCTGGTTCTGTGTCTGACCAAACCTCGCCTCACTTATAACGGTAAGAAACTCATTCAAGCTTTACTGCTTCTGATTGGCTGCTGTAAGCCCACCCAATTTAAAGGAATAGTACACCCAAAACATGATTAGCCTTCATTTTCTACTCACCCCCTGTCACGCCCATCTCAAAGGCCAGGACAAAAAGGGAGACAGACGAGCGGATCCATAGAAACAATAATTTATTGATAACAAAAATACGCTCTGTGAGATCAGGCCAGCCAGTCGGAGAGAAGTGTGGACCAATGCTGCTTGTTCCGGCCTGGTCCGGAGGGCAAACAAGCAGAGCGAGTGACTGACTAGTCGTCCCCTTTTATCATTCACCGGTGTGTGCAATTAACAGTCCATCTACCTGCTTCCTGAAAAAAAAACAAGAACAAACATGTAGAGGACTAGAGACACCTACTGGACAGGAGGGGATCGTCACACTCCCCCCCCATACAAATGGAGTCCTAACCGGAACTCCCAAAAAGACAGCGATTTATACTAACAACTAGGTGACAATTGCAATACTAATGGACTTTGCAGTCTTACCACAATCACCCATTCAATCCCCACCTCAATAGCTCAGCCACCCTAGCCACTGGAAAAGCCTATAAGAAACTTGGAGAAAAAGGGACTGAACATTAAACCTAAGCACATGGTGCCCTGGACAAAGCATCTGCCACAATATTGTCCGAGCCCCTAATATGGCAGATATCCAGACAATAGGGCTGCAAAAACAACATCCATCGCATCAGTCTGCGATTTGGACACTGCAATGAATGCAAAAATGTTAAGGGATCGTGATCAGTATAGACCACCAGAGGAACACTACCAGAATCCAGATATATTTCAAAATGCTGTAAAGCCCAAATTAGTGCCAATGTCTCTTTTTCAATGACAGAATAGTTCACCTGAAAATGGTTGAATTTTTTAGAGTAGAAACTCACAGGTCGATCAACTCCATCATCATCTTGTTGAAATAAGACAGCACCTGCACCTACATCACTTGCATCCACATGCAGGACAAAAGGACGATCCCATTGTGGAGCTGCAAGAACAGGGAAGGAACAGAGGACAAATTTGACATCATCAAAAGCTTTCTGACAGGAAGCTGTCCAGGTGTACTTCACTTTATCCTTCAGCAAATCTGTTAATGGGGAAACCACTGTAGAAAAGTTCTTACAAAAACTGCGGTAGTACCCCACAAGACCCAGGAACCGCTGGAGTTCTTTTTTTGTTGTTGGTACGGGATACTGTAAAATTGCAGTTACTTTGGCTTCCACTGGACGCACCACCCCTTGCCCCACCACCTTACCCAGATAGGTAACAGTAGCCTTAGCAAACTCACACTTCGCCAAGTTAATGGTCAGGTGTGCTTCAGCCAGTCGTTCAAACAGCTTACGTATGTGAGCCAGATGTTCCTTCCACGTATCACTAAAGACCACCACATCATCCAAATATACGGCACACCCTTCCAACCCAGACACAACCATATTCATGAGACGCTGAAAGGTTGCAGGTGCATTTCGCAATCCAAAACTCATTACAGAGTAAGAGAACAGACCAAAGGGAGTTATAAAGGCAGAAATCTCTCTAGCTCTCTCAGACAATGGAACTTGCCAATAACCCTTCAATAAATCAAATTTACTAACAAACTGAGCTGAACCCACCTGATCGACACAATCTTCCATGCGTGGCATCGGATAAGCATCAGATTTTGTAACCATGTTCACTTTCCGATAATCTGTACAAAATCTAAAACTTTTATCAGCCTTCTCCACCAACAAACAAGGTGATGCCCAGCTAGATGCATAGGATTCAGCAATACTATTTTCAAGCATATACCGAATCTCCCCCTCCATTACCTTCCGCTTCTCCTCAGAAATCCTGTAAAAGCGCTGGCGAATTGGCTGTGCCTCACCCACATCGATATCATGTTGAACTAAGTGAGTTCGACTGGGCACATCACCAAACAAACAACGATACTCATTAAACATAGCAGTCAACTCAGTGCCCTCCTCCTGAGACAAATGTGCAAACAAAGAATCCAAATTCCTCGGTACATCAGAATTTTTCAGCCTGCCAGTCAACAAACTCTCATTAGGTGGAATCACCCCATCGTTTTCAAGTGCCGATAAGAAAGCTAATCCACTTACTGTAGTAGCTACAGAGACAGTCTTATCAACCTGCACCTCCTCATCTTTGCTGGATACCTGTGACTCCCGAGTGTAATAGGGTTTTAACAAATTTGCATGGCAAAGCTGTGTTGACTTCCTACGCCTCGGTGTGGACAGCAGATAGTTTTGATCTGACAGCTTGCGCAGGACTGTAAATGGGCCTGTAAATTTAGCCTGAAAGGGGGAGCTGACAACTGGCAATAATGCAAGTACCTGATCACCAGGACTAAAACATCGATGGTCCACCTTACGGTCATAGATGCGCTTCATCTTCTCCTGAGAAGAGGTCAACTTCTCCCTAGCCATTTCCACCCCCACATGCAAATAGGGCTGGGTACCGAACTTCAGTTCTTTTATGGTACCGACCGAAATGCTTCGGTTCTACCGAGTATCGAAACATGCCTCGTCTTTCGGTACCAAGTTTCGGTGATTGGCTGTAACACTTAACGTGATTGCGTCATCCAGGAAAAATACACAGGTGGTCCCGCCTACAGCCAGGGTTCATGTGTATCTGTTGTGAACTGGTTGTGAGCGTCGCGGAACTCCTTTAAAATGCCCCCCAGGTCAAAAGTGCGGCTTCACTTTATTAAGACTGATGCTAATAGTGCGCAATGCAATACATCGCGCACATAAACAATTTAAGAGCAGAAAGTTGCTCTGTGTTTGACTGCAAGAAGAGCGGCCCGCAACCAGCGCGACCATCCTCCTCTCAGCAGCCCGTGGGCAGAGCAAAGCCAGAGCGGAGTAATGCTGTAATAATGTAATAATGCTGCAATTTCAAACTGGACGCAGCAGAAGAAGCAAAATCACGTCTACTGCTTCCTTTTTTGCTGCTTGTACCAGCTTCTGATGCGCGGCTGAAGAATCTTTGCTGCTCTGGCTGCGCGGTGCAAAAGTGGCTCTGATGCGCGTTGGGCGGAGCTACTCTATCCTTTATTTGCCTTGCAGCTATATTTGCTGTGATCAGTGGGAATAAAGTAGTTTTATTATGTTTTTAAGTGGGAAAATCCACCTGAAAACTTAATCAGTGCAGTCAGTTCATCCTGCCTTCCAATATTCTTTCTGTCAGAGCCGCTCAGACCCCCACATACCAGCGGTGCGCTGTCAGTAGGATCCCATTCAACGGGCTTGTTTGTCAGACATGGTAATTTTTCTAAAGGAAAACTGCTAAGTAAAAAGGTCCTCACAATGTTACAGTGAATATTAGACACTGATTTTTTTTTTATGTAAGAGGAAAAATGTAAATGGAAAAATCTGAGCTTAAAATAAAACTCAAGATTTGTACTTTTTTATGTTGAGTAATTTTCTTTTTCTTCGAATTGATATTATAAAACTGGTATCGAAAAAAGTATCGTTCAGGAACCGGTATCGAAGTGAAGGTATCGGTATTGGTACCGGTACCGAAAATTTTTGAACAATACCCAGCCCTACATGCAAACGATGTCTAAACCCATTGACATAGTCAATTAACTTACTCGGAGGTTCTGAAGGACTCACAGCATCATGTAACAGTTTAAGTGGCCCACGCACTGCATGTCCAAAAACAAGCTCGTTTGGGCTAAACCCAGTACTCTCTTGCACCACCTCACGAGCAGCTAACAGAAGCCATGGTAAGCCATCTTCCCAATCCTGATTTAACTCCACACAGTAAGTACGCAACAAGGACTTGAGGGTCTGATGGAACCTCTCCAGAGCACCTTGACTCTGAGCATGATATGCAGAAGCCTGATTATGTTTGACCTGTAAAAGTTTCAAAACTTGAGCGAACAAATGAGAAGAAAAATTTGAACCTTGATCAGACTGGATAACTTTTAGAATACCAAAAATAGAAATGAACTGAGTCAGAGCCTTTACCACAGACCTAGCAGTAATGGTCCGCAGTGGATATGCAGCTGGATATCTTGTCGTCTGACACATTACCGTCAACAAATAATTACTCCCAGCCTTAGAACGAGGTAAAGGACCAACACAATCAATAATGAGGTGTTCAAAAGGTTGCATAACCACCGGAATTGGATACAAGGGAACCGGCTTGATGCTCTGATTTGGCTTCCCTGCCGTCTGACATGTGTGGCAGGTTTTGATATATTCAGACACATCCCTTTTTAACCGAGGCCAAAAAAAATAACGCAGGATATAATGATAAGTCTTGTGGACCCCCAAATGACCTGATTGATCATGGGAAGCCCGCAACACTTCACTGCGAAATTTCGAGGGAACAACAGTCTGACAAAGGGAACCCCCAACAAAATCCTCCCCATGTACCAACCATTTCCGCACCAACAATCCATCCTTCAACACATACCCACAGGCCACACTCTCGTCATCAGTGACAACCTGGTCAAAAAGATGACGAAGAGAAGAATCCGCTCTCTGCTCCGCCACCAGGTCACTGTGAGAAACAGACAAAAGAGAATCAGGGACATAAAGAGAGAAAAAATCACCATCTTCGGCACCTCCACCTTCATGGTCAGGGACGGATGCCGACTCAGCATTGTACATAGCTCGCGTCACCGCACAAGCTGTAAAAACCCCAGGGAAACACTGAGCACTCTCATCAAACTTCCCTAGAACAGGGGAAGAAGTTACTGTGGGAGCAGGTAGTGGACAATCAGCCCACACCCGGCCACCAGCCAGATCATTGCCCAAGATTACATCCACTCCCTCCAGCGGAAGTGCAGGGCGCACCCCCATGATAACCTCCCCCTGAACCAATCCACAAGTCAAAGTCAACTTATGCAGCGGAACTGGTTCCACCATAAGTCCCATTCCCCGCATCAAAACATGGTCTCCAGTTTTGGTTTCCTCAGAAAAGGGTAATACAGAGCTCACAATATATGAATTAAAAGCTCCAGTATCCCTCAAAATTTGTACCGGTACCGTAGCATCACTCCCCACCATGGACACATGGCCGTCAGAAAGAAAAGGTGAAAAATCCCCCTGATCCAAAGTATACTTCCGTCCTGTGTCCACCTGTTTAGAGGAAACAAAACCATGCGTTTCAGAGGCAGCAAAAGCAACAGATTTCACTTGAGCACCTCTTTTTGGGCATTCCCGCTTCCAATGGCCTCTGGCTTTGCAATAATGACATGCATCAGATAGATCCACATACACATGCCCACTGGAAATCCGTTCTGACCTACTGTTCACATCAGAACCAATGCCTTCCTCCTTTGCATGACTTCCCACAAAAGATTGTTTGCCACTCCTGTAACCAAAATCACTGCGAGGTTGATACTCACGGCCACCCCTGTGTATAAGAACATATTCATCTGCCAGCTTAGCAGCTTCAGCAGCTGTCTTCACGTTATGTTCACTGATATATACAGCAAGGTGACTCGGAACAGAGTTTTTAAACTGTTCCAGGACAACCAAATTACAGAGGTCAACAAAAGTGCTAATTTTTAAGGAAGCACACCACCTATTGAAATGGATTCCCAGCTCCCTGGCAAACTCAACATGGGTTTGTTTCCCAGCCTTCTCCCATGTCCGAAACCTCTGTCGGTAAGCCTCTGGTACCAACTCATAAGCTGTTGAAACAGCCTTCTTCACAGTGGCATAAACTTTACTTTCATTCCCTGTGAGGGCAGAGTATGCTTCTTGTGCTTTGCCTGTGAACACACACTGTAAAAGCAGTGTCCGGTCCAAATCAGACCAACCTCGACTATCAGCAACACGCTCAAACAGGGAAAAGAAGGTATCCGGATCCCATTCAGAAAACTGAGGAACTAAACGCAGATTATTCCCAACATCAAACGAGCTAAACGTTCCCCTACCGGAAGCATCAAGGGGGACGCTGCCCGCACTAGTTGAACTCAGTTTGCGTTCTTCCAACTCCAGCCTTTTCACATCCAACTTTTCTGTTCTATCCCAGCCTGCAGTAAAAGCAGCTCCCGCTTTTGTTCAAAAGTCAATCTAGTATCAAAAACGTCAGTGTCCAACCACATCGCGCCAGCTTGCAACTTAGCTGGTCCTAACACACCGGAGTCAGTTAATTTAGCTTTAATGACGGCTTTTATACTCTCCTTAGACCGCTTATCACTGACCTCCAACGTAAAATGTTCAGCTATCTTTAGTAACTGTTCGCGTGTGCAGCGCTCCAACCCCTCCTCAGACGGATCCCGCAAAAAATCCTCAACAGCAGCCATAACATCAACAATTATCCACACAACACCTGAATTCCAACCAGTAGCACTCTGAGCTCCCACGATCCCAAAACAACCACAACGTCACACCGACCCCGTCCCTCTAACTGCCTAACTAGAATCTAACTAATCTCCCCCGCTAGTCTTCGGGTGTTACTTGTGATGGGTATTTATGCACTAACGCCCGAGAGTCCGAAAAAGCAACCAATAAATGGCGATTCCCTGCAACTCCGGATGTGCTCCCGAGACAACTGCTCTTCCCACGTTCACACCACACTAAAATCCCCTGACAGGGACAGAACCACCGCGACCTGCTATGAAGGAGCGATCACCCAAACTGCTACACAAACACACTCTCTCAGAACAGATGTACAACGGCTGCCACACTCACCAAACCCAGCACGCTCGTCAACATCCCCCAACAAAACAGAGTTCACAACTCAACACACTACCTGGCAGCTGATCTCCAATCCGGGTTCAAACTGACAAGCCCCCATTTGTCACGCCCATCTCAAAGGCGAGGACAAAAAGGGAGACAGACGAGCGGATCCATAGAAACAATAATTTATTGATAACAAAAATACGCTCTGTGAGATCAGGCCAGCCAGTCGGAGAGAAGTGTGGACCAATGCTGCTTGTTCCGGCCTGGTCCGGAGGGCAAACAAGCAGAGCGAGTGACTGACTAGTCGTCCCCTTTTATCATTCACCGGTGTGTGCAATTAACAGTCCATCTACCTGCTTCCTGAAAAAAAAACAAGAACAAACATGTAGAGGACTAGAGACACCTACTGGACAGGAGGGGATCGTCACACCCCCATGCTGAACAACACTCTGGAGTACTTTTTTGATATCTCAAATGCATCTGGAGATCTGGGAGGCTTCTTGCTGTCTGCTGACATTCAAATAATGGAGGTCTGTGGCGCCCGAGGCAGAAAGGTCCATAAAAGTCCACAAAAAACGTGTCAATATTCCTCCATACTGCTCGTCCAATGTATTCCAAGTGTCCTGAGTGGGTAGAATCCAGAATTTACTCGAAACGAAGTCATTTAGAATGTTTTTAGAGCATAAACAGTAGTGTATAGGATTTCCTGAAAGCGCGTTCACGAGTCTACGGAAACCGCGGCAGACCAAACCAGATGAAAGTGCGCATTCAGCGTCTGCTCTGCCGATAATGCAAGCGTAGAAGAAGAAATGTGCTGTTTACCTGTGCAAAGAAAGAAACAACGAAAGAAAAATGTCCGAGGACTTCAGTGTTGAGGAAGAGCAGGAGTTCTTTGCCGAGCTGAATGCGCACTTTCTTCTGGTTTGGTCTGCCGGTTTCCGTAGACTCGTGAACGCGCTTTCAGGAAATCCTATACACTACTGTTTATGCTCTAAAAACCTTCTAAATGACTTCGTTTCGGGTAAATTCTGGACGCTACCCACTCAGGACACTTGGAATACATTGGACGAGCAGTATGGAGGAATATTGACACGTTTTTTGCGGACTTTTAGGGACCTTTCTGCCTCGGGCGCCATAGACCTCCATTATTTGAATGTCAGCAGACAGCAAGAAGCCTCCCAGATCTCCAGATGCATTTGAGATATCAAAAAAGTACTCCAGAGTGTTGTTCAGCATGGGGGTGAGTAGAAAATGAAGGCTAATCATGTTATGGGTGTAGTATTCCTTTAAGTTAAATCTGTTTTCTTTCCCTAAAATGCAGTCATTTAGTTTATAGGTTTCCATGGAAACCAGGGATGTATTTTAGTTGTTCCTGTTTTCTGAAAAAAATCACCCATTCTAATCACAACAGCAAATATAATATAGAATAATATAGATATTATATGAGACGACCTAATCCCTTTCCTGTCTCCCCCTCTCTCCTCTCTCTCCTCCTCCTGTCTCCCTCCGTCCCGCTCTGTCCTCATGTCTCTGCTCTGCTGTGATGTCCTCCAGAGGACGTCCTCTCTAAGGACGTGGGGGAATGTGCCATCTGCCTGGAGGACCTGCAGCAGGGGGACACCATCGCCCGCCTTCCCTGCCTCTGCATCTACCATAAAGGGTGGGGTTCCAGAAGCTCCGCCTCCACCTTTGCTCCCCTGTGGAGCGCTCAGATCTAGCTGAGGTTCTGATGGCGTGTTCTGTGGTTCTGCTGCAGGTGCATCGATGCGTGGTTCGAGGTGAACAGATCCTGCCCGGAGCATCCGTCAGACTAAAGCTTCCCTCACAGCGGTAACCTCCGTCCCAAACACCACCTTCCTGATGGAGACCCGCTTCCCCCAGAGGTCTCCTCTCCCTGTGAGGTCCAGGAACCAGGAGGAGGTCCAGTAGAACCGGATCCTGATCACAGACATGACCTGGTTCTGATCCAACCAGTTCCTGCTGTGACTGAATCCTGACCGGACCCTGGACCTGCTCAGGGACCGGTTCCTCATTGGACCTCTGTTTGAGCTCTGTGAACCTACCTGACTGGACCACCTGATCCCTGACCCACTCAGTCAGGTTCTGACCCACTGTGGGACGGTCCGGGTGGGCTAGTAGACCTTCTGGGGGAAAGGTTCTTATGGCGGTTCCTGCTGTGGTATCGGACCTGAACGGTCTGCTTCTGTGCTTCTTTCCCTCACAGGTTACCGACTCTGAGAAGGTTCTACAGAATGGAGGCGGGATCCAGAGGCCCGTTGGACCCTATGAACACTGTGAACCCCCCCATGTTGTAGAACCACCGCGTGCCAAACCTCTTTGGAGAAACTTCAGGGATACCAGCCTTTCAGTCTCCAGGGGAACGGACCTACCTGCTCCTCACCTGACGGTCCATTGGGATAGGGAGGGCGGTTCTGGGAGGGTTCTGATGCTGTGGGACCTCACCGCTCCTCGGTCGGCACCGATTTCTCCCAGTGCCGTGATGGGAAGCAGGAAGGAAAAGGTTGGAGCTGGAGGAGCTTCTCACCACAGCTGCCATTAAAGCAGAACCGAGCCAGAGACGAGCCGTCTGCATGGGCAGCTCCGGGCCCGGCGGTGCCGATCCACTGTGAATACTGACTACCATGCACCTCATCCCCATGGAGCCCGGTTCTCCAGGTCCATTTCCCAGCCCAGTAGGACTAAAGCATAAAGTTCTTCAGTCCAGGAACAGAACCTCTCTACCTGTTCTGTTGATCTTCAGAAGAACTTTTACAAAGAGTCCACAGGTCCAACAGAACCTTCAGCTTTCCTTTACACCATGCCTAAAGATTCACCAGAGGTTCTGCTTCCCGTGGACCTCCTGCTCGGCCGAGGACAGGCAGTCCAGCCCAGAGCTGCCGCTTCCTCTGGGACCACATCCTTGACCAGGTCCCCCACTGCGCCGTTCTGTTCCAGAACCCACTGTTTGATTCTGCTGGATCCAGAACGGGTCGGTCGCTCTGCCGCAGTGGTTCTGGTCACCTTGTTTCTTCTCAATAGACTAAAACTGATCCTTGATTCCTGGAATGTGAGAGTTTGATCCGTTCCCACAGCATGACGCCTACAGCGCCATACTTCAGACTGTCTGTCCAATCAGAACCAGTTAAAGTTATTTAAGTTAGTAACTTGGTTAAGTTACTAAAGTGGCGTTGATCTAGTTAGAGACGCAGTCGGGTCAGTTGGCTGTCTGCTCAAGAGGTCTGCCTCATCCCTGAGGTCCGCCTCATCCCAGAGGTCCGCCTCATCCCTGAGGTCCGCCTCATCCCTGAGGTCCGCCTCGTCCCGGAGGTCCGCCTCGTCCCTGAGGTCCGCCTCGTCCCGGAGGTCCGCCTCGTCCCGGAGGTCCGCCTCGTCCCGGAGGTCCGCCTCGTCCCGGAGGTCCGCCTCATCCCTGAGGTCCGCCTCATCCCTGAGGTCCGCCTCATCCCGGAGGTCCGCCTCATCCCTGAGGTCCGCCTCATCCCGGAGGTCCGCCTCATCCCTGAGGTCCGCCTCATCCCGGAGGTCCGCCTCATCCCAGAACCCTGAAGGGAACTGAATGAACTCTGGAATGAATCCAGTCACCTGGTAAATAATAGATTGAAAGGAAAGGCTCCAGATTTACTCTCCATGCTGATGATGTTCTGTGCGCGTCGCCTCATGTCCACGCTCAGGATCAGCTTCTCTGAGCCAGGGGTTTCCATGGCGATGAAAGGTTCTGGTTTGGTCCTCTTTTTTTAAAGAAGCCCTCCAGGTACCGATTCAATGCTATTCCTTTTTATAATCACTGAACATCTAAACTGTAGAGGCCACAGGTTTAGGAGTTTGCCCTTCAATCGAAGGTTGACGGTTCAAGCCTGGCTCTGGCTTTCAGTGTTGTTTCCTTGAGCAAGACACTTCACCTGCATGGTCTACTGATGGTGGTCAGAGGGCCCGGTGGGGCCAGAGTACGACAGCCCTGCTTCTGTCAGTGAAACCAGGGCAGCTGTGGCTACAATGTAGCTCACCACCATCAGTGTGTGAGTGAATGTCATTCACCAGAAAGCACTTTGGTCTCCTGACTTGACCAAAGTGCTTATGAGTACAGGCCTTTAACCATTTCAACCAGATATCTTCCTTTCTGGTCCTGGAGTTTCTAGATGTTTCCCTGCTTGAAAACTACCGGGTCGTTGGCAGAACCCCGTGAACCTGACTGCAGTCCAACAGGCTAAGTCAGGGAGTCTGATCCTGGACCTGATGACCCCTGACCTAAACCCCTCAAAGCCAGGCTGATCCTCCTCCGCTCCAGTGGATCTGGACAGACGGGTTAAACCCAGGAGTCTGATGGGACATCTTGTCTTCATCCATTCCTGGGTCCTCAGGTGTGTGGGTTTCAGTGACCCAGCTGCAGGTTCAACAGACCATCAGGTGGATCACAGACTGATGGACTTCATGCTTAAACAGCCTAAAGACACATTTCATGACTTCTGTGAAGCAGTTTAACCTCGAACAAGCATCCTTAGAGGAAAGCTTTGTAAAAGTTGTTCCTGAAGCAGCTCTGCATCAGACTGGCAATAATAAAACTTTTATTCTCATTTATCAAAAGACATCAAATATTCCTCTTCAGACTTGAATCCCCTGCTGAGCCGTCTGGGTGCCTCTCCAACCTTACTGGGAATCTGATTTTATTTGAAGACATCAATGCAGACTCATTTCAATCCACTTTTATTGTTTAATAAATGACAAATAAATACAGGCCTGGTAGAGGAGGTAACACTGTGCTGCTCAACATGCTCAATAAAACATACACTAATGAAGATTCTCCTCTTATTGGTCGAGTTCCTCATCCTCTGCTGCTTTGGTTCTGAGAACTTTGATGAGGTAGATGGGCTGAACCTCCCAGAGTAGAAACGCTTTCATTTATGCAACCAGGTTATTGCAACATGTTTATGAAAAAAAGCAGCAACTGAAGTAACAGTGAAGGAACAAAAACTGCATGAAAAAAAAAACAAAATGGAGATTCTGCAGGAAGTTCTTTTCTTAAGCTGTAAGCACTTCCTGTCTTTATGGAAAACTCAAACATGTGGGGAAAGACTCCCTCCTACCGAACAGTAGATCAGCAGAACACATCTGCAGCTGGAGGCCAGTCAGGACCAAGCTAATGCTAACAGTATGCTAACCACTGTATCTCACATAGAGGAACATGAGATGGAACGTTTCAAGGTCTTTATATAAAAGGTTCTCAGTTTATATAAAGGTTCTCAGTTTATATAAAAGGTTCTCAGTTTATATAAAAGTTTCTCATTAGTTTATATAAAAGGTTCTCTGGTTTATAAAGAGGTTCTCAGTTTATATAAAAGGTTCTCTGGTTTATATAAAGGTTCTCAGTTTATATAAAAGGTTCTCATTAGTTTATATAAAGGTTCTCAGTTTATATAAAAGTTTCTCATTAGTTTATATAAAAGTTTCTCATTAGTTTATATAAAAGGTTCTCTGGTTTATAAAGAGGTTCTCAGTTTATATAAAAGGTTCTCTGGTTTATATAAAGGTTCTCAGTTTATATAAAAGGTTCTCATTAGTTTATATAAAGGTTCTCAGTTTATATAAAAGTTTCTCATTAGTTTATATAAAAGGTTCTCTGGTTTATAAAGAGGTTCTCAGTTTATATAAAAGGTTCTCTGGTTTATATAAAGGTTCTCAGTTTATATAAAAGGTTCTCTGGTTTATATAAAGGTTCTCAGTTTATATAAAAGGTTCTCTGGTTTATATAAAGGTTCTCAGTTTATATAAAAGGTTCTCTGGTTTATATAAAGGTTCTCAGTTTATATAAAAGGTTCTCATTAGTTTATATAAAAGGTTCTCTGGTTTATATAAAGGTTCTCAGTTTATATAAAAGGTTCTCATTAGTTTATATAAAGGTTCTCAGTTTATATAAAAGGTTCTCTGGTTTATATAAAGGTTCTCAGTTTATATAAAAGGTTCTCTGGTTTATATAAAGGTTCTCAGTTTATATAAAAGTTTCTCTGGTTTATATAAAGGTTCTTAGTTTATATAAAGATTCTCATTAGTTTATATAAAAGGTTCTCTGGTTTATATAAAGGTTCTCAGTTTATATAAAAGGTTCTCTGGTTTATATAAAGGTTCTCAGTTTATATAAAGATTCTCATTTTATATAAAAGGTTCTCATTAGTTTAAATAAAGGTTCTCTGTGTCTATTGTTCTTAGAATGAACCGGAAACATTCCAGCTCAGATGCATCCATGCTAGCTGGTTCTAATAGGTTCTCTGGTAGCTCCCTGATCAGAGGAACCACCCGCAGACGCGTGGATCAGAGGAACCACCCGCAGACGCGTGGATCAGCGGAACCACCCGCAGACGCGTGGATCAGAGGAACCACCCGCAGACGCGTGGATCAGAGGAACCACCCGCAGACGCTGGATCAGAGGAACCACCCGCAGACGCGTGGATCAGAGGAACCACCCGCAGACGCTGGATCAGAGGAACCACCCGCAGACGCGTGGATCAGCGGAACCACCCGCAGACGCGTGGATCAGAGGAACCACCCGCAGACGCGTGGATCAGCGGAACCACCCGCAGACGCGTGGATCAGAGGAACCACCCGCAGACGCGTGGATCAGAGGAACCACCCGCAGACGCTGGATCAGAGGAACCACCCGCAGACGCGTGGATCAGAGGAACCACCCGCAGACGCTGGATCAGAGGAACCACCCGCAGACGCGTGGATCAGCGGAACCACCCGCAGACGCGTGGATCAGAGGAACCACCCGCAGACGCGTGGATCAGAGGAACCACCCGCAGACGCGTGGATCAGAGGAACCACCCGCAGACGCGTGGATCAGAGGAACCACCCGCAGACGCGTGGATCAGAGGAACCACCCGCAGACGCGTGGATCAGAGGAACCACCCGCAGACGCTGGATCAGCGGAACCACCCGCAGACGCGTGGATCAGAGGAACCACCCGCAGACGCGTGGATCAGAGGAACCACCCGCAGACGCGTGGATCAGAGGAACCACCCGCAGACGCGTGGATCAGAGGAACCACCCGCAGACGCGTGGATCAGAGGAACCACCCGCAGACGCGTGGATCAGAGGAACCACCCGCAGACGCTGGATCAGAGGAACCACCCGCAGACGCTGGATCAGAGGAACCACCCGCAGACGCTGGATCAGAGGAACCACCCGCAGACGCGTGGATCAGAGGAACCACCCGCAGACGCTGGATCAGAGGAACCATCCGCAGACGCGTGGATCAGAGGAACCACCCGCAGACGCTGGATCAGAGGAACCACCCGCAGACGCTGGATCAGAGGAAGCAGACGCTGGATCAGAGGAACCACCCGCAGACGCGTGGATCAGAGGAACCACCCGCAGACGCGTGGATCAGAGGAACCACCCGCAGACGCGTGGATCAGAGGAACCACCCGCAGACGCTGGATCAGAGGAACCACCCGCAGACGCGTGGATCAGAGGAACCACCCGCAGACGCTGGATCAGAGGAACCACCCGCAGACGCTGGATCAGAGGAACCACCCGCAGACGCTGGATCAGAGGAACCACCCGCAGACGCGTGGATCAGAGGAACCACCCGCAGACGCTGGATCAGAGGAACCATCCGCAGACGCTGGATCAGAGGAACCACCCGCAGACGCTGGATCAGAGGAACCACCCGCAGACGCGTGGATCAGAGGAACCACCCGCAGACGCTGGATCAGAGGAACCACCCGCAGACGCGTGGATCAGAGGAACCACCCGCAGACGCGTGGATCAGAGGAACCACCCGCAGACGCGTGGATCAGAGGAACCACCCGCAGACGCGTGGATCAGAGGAACCACCCGCAGACGCGTGGATCAGAGGAACCACCCGCAGACGCGTGGATCAGAGGAACCACCCGCAGACGCTGGATCAGAGGAACCACCCGCAGACGCGTGGATCAGAGGAACCACCCGCAGACGCGTGGATCAGAGGAACCACCCAATCAGAGACTAAATGCTAACGGAACACAGGATGCAGCTGCAGTCACAGCTGGATCTCTGCAGTGTTTGAGGGTGAACTGTAATGTGTCTTGACATGACTTGTGTTGTGGATTAGCGCTATATAAATAAACAGAATTGAATTGAGGCCTTTAACAGGCTCTGGTTCAGGATGTGGCACAGTAGCAGTTCATGGTTCCATCCAGGAGGAAAAGAGCAGTTCTATCAGTGGAAAAGAAGCCGTTTCTCTGATTCAAACAGTTTCTGTTCCTCTTCAGTGAGCAGGTTTCCTTTAAAGCTGTAGAAACACAGAAACAAACCATAAACCATCAGAGAGGAGAAGCTTCCTGATTGGTTGGTTGGTCAGAAGATGAACTTTGATTATCTATGTGATCATCTCTATCTGATATACTGAGACGTCAGGAATCATTGCCTTCTTTATTGCCTCTCTTTGCCACCACTCTTTATTTTTTACCTTAGAAATTGAATATAACATAAAAACTATTGTTTTATTATTTCTAATATAATATATTTTATGTTAAAAAAGATCCAAATGGATTAGAAAGCAAAATCTTTGCACTGCAAATCTTTTCTTGAGGCTGAAAATTTCTATGCGTGTTAAATGCAGCGAGTCAACATGGCCGCCCTCAGACCTCATTCTGTTAGGAAATGTTTGCATCAAGAAGATTAAAAAATGATGAAACTATAGAATTTCACATGTACTCTCCATGGCTCCAGTTAGACAATAAACATTAAATAAATATACTGTTGCTGCTGAAGATTCTCTGTCATTCCAAAGAAAGTTCAGAAACAAACCAATTCCCATCCAGGAAGCCAAACGTCTTCAGACTTGGAAACCAAGTCCACTCCACTATTTTTTTTTTATTTCTTTGGAATAAATATATTGTTATGCAGCTTCACATTAATCAGAATTAAATATGCTGGAAGACACCCTCCCCAGCAGGGGGCAGTAAGGACCAGCAGGGGGCAGCCCTCATTTCTTCAAATAGTTTGATGATAAAATCGAAGCTCTTCAAGTCTAACGGTCGGTAATCTGCCCTGAGATGGCGCATGGGGATGTTTCCACCTAACAAGTCCGAGTCTCCTGGCCAACAGGGCGACAAACACTCGAACTGTTTGAAAGACTGTAGGATTAAAAAGCTGCAGAGGAAAACCAAGCAAAGCTGAGAGAAGATTTCAGACCAGGATGTGGGAAAAGCCGTCGGCCAGAGGTGGTTTAGTTCCACCGGCTCTTAGTTTTTCTACTCTGACGTCAAGATTTTGGTGTAAAATGCAGAAAATACTTGAATTACGACCAGTTCTGGATGAGCTGTTATTGGTGGAGCTAGTCAGCGTTAGCCAGGGGGCGGGGCGTCCCCTTTAACCCCTGCATGGGGTCTGGTTCATTAAGCCCCGCCCTCCCACTACTCACAGTGAGTTCACTTTGGTTTATTTGCTTCTGTTCCCACCAGCAGTTTGTTCTCTGTGATAGTGAACATTCACTAAAACAACGTAAGAATTACTGGACAGCTAAGGAAATATAGAAAAGACTGAAAGTTGATTTCTCCTTAAGTTTTCCAGCATTTTCTGCTACTCTGTAAAGGAGTTCCTCATCCAATCATGTCTCTAAGCTCCATCACAGATGATTGGATGGATTTTAGTGGGGGGGGGGGGCATCAAGCCATGTGTCTGATTCTCACCAGATCTCCTTCAGCTTGGTGTTGGAAGCTAAAGCATCAGCGAAGTGTTGGATCCCAGCAGCTGTGAAGCGGTTGTTGATTAACCTGCAGACAAATAAAGGAAGCTGTTGACGTTCTGAGCAGCAGCAGCTCAGGTACTGACCTGGAGGCTCTGAGCATGAATGACTGACTGCTCTCCTCACCAAAGGTGGGTCAGCCCAGTGTCTGCTTGAACCAACTGGGCCCAGTGGGGAGCTGCATCATCCATCATCTCATTCTGCACCAACCTGAGGAAGCAGCAGTGGATTACATAGACCTTAGAACCCAGGTCAGATCTTTGTTTAGATGGTCTAGTCTAACATGTCCACTAGTTCTGAGACCGGTGCTACCACCCATAGGTCTGTGTGAGTTTCAGCTGTTTGTCCCTCAGCGCTTGCCTTCCAATCAGTCTTTCCTTTGTTTACAGTATTGCCTCAGTTTCTGGTGGGACTGCCCGCTGCACGTCCTAAATGGGGTCAAACATTTAGTTTTCCTCCTCCTGTTTCTCACAGCAGCAGTTTTTAAAACTTTGGCCCATTCCTCCGAACAGAAGCGGACTATCCTTTCAGCTCTGAGCACAGATCTTCTAATGGACTGAGATTAGAAGTTGGTAATGGTGACTCCAAAGCTATGAACTTGGTTCTCTGGTGCAGTTTGAGGCTGAGTGTAAGGTGGAGGGCTGAAGATTGGCTCCTCCAAGTCCAAGTAGAGGGTAACCAGAAAAGGGTGGATCAGGACATTGATGACTGGATTGTAATAGTGAAGAAAGAGCTGACCTCTCTATTTACTGGTCAGTACCCTCATCTATGGTCAGGGAATCTGGATCATGACTACATCTCTAAGCTCATAACTGTAAAAACGTTTTTTTTTTTTTTTTTTTATAGTAATATCCACCTTTATATTATATTTGGTACATATCCAGCTGTAAATTTAGTTCACACTAGTGATCTATATATTATATTCACTATTTATAATAGTATTCATCTCTATACTCATTCAGTAGAACCATGTCCTGCATTTATGGAACCATTATTTATCCTGCACTTGCTGCTATTGCACTTCTGGTTAGACCTAAACTGCATTTCGTTGCCTTGTACCTGTACCTGTGCAATGACAATAAAGTTTAATCTAATCTTCCAGGCTAAGCTACAGAAATCCATGGACAAAACCAAACTGAGCAGGAAAAGTTCAGTATTTTCTAACTCTAATTTTAAACTCAAGCTGAAGAATTTTTATACCAGAAGATCCTCAGGACGCTGTTCTCCTTCAGTGCTTCTGCCAGATGTTTGCCCCCTTCTGAAGTGATGCCATTGGCAGACAGACTGCAGCAGAGAGGAAAGCAACAGAATGAATCAGTGTTGGAATCAGTTTCTGAGTCATTAGTCTGGTTTCACCCTGTTCTGCTACCTGAGGTTGGTGAGACTTCTGTGGTTCCTCAAGGCTTCAGCAAATGCTTCTGCTCCCTCATCACCAATGCTGTTGCCCCACATTCTGGAAGACAAGACCAGTGCTATGAGAGGGGCATCTAACCTAGATAGTGTCGTAGAGACGCCTCATATACTTACCCAACATCAAATATGGAAGTACTCTTCTTAATGGCGTTGGCCAAACACCTTCCACCGACACCTGTGATCTTGTTTTTACCAATCCTAAAGACGTTCATGACAGCATTACACACCAGAAAACACCTCCCATTTTGCTCATTTCTTTCTCTGGACCTTTCAGGTGTAACATACTTGACAATTGCTAGCTGAGGGCATTCCTCAATCATCTGAGCGACCAGTTTGGCTCCAGCATCAGTGATGTTATTGTTGTAGAGTCTGAGGATGGAGAAAAGATCGTCTTTTACTCAATAATTGGATGTTTTCTTCCAGGCTAAGCTACAGAAATCAAGGTAAACTGAAGTGTTTGAACTATTTCCATCCCTAACTTCTATCTGGAAAGTTATCAGGATCTATGGGGCACATAGGAACACAGGAAAGCATCTCCCAGACCTGGTCCTGCCCACTGACGATCAGCTGGTTGAAAGGTTTCTCTACTTCTTCCCTTCTTGGCTGCACAGTTAGGCCTAAAGTAGTGGAGATGTGATCACCAGGACATCAACGCTACTGGAAGCTTCAGTTAGAAGTCCAAAGCATCTTCTCTGGTAGAGAATAGTGTGTTAGGATGGGGGTAACCACTAACCCTAACCACTATCCCTAACCACTATCCCTAATCACCAACCCTAATCACCATCCCTAATCCCTATCACTAACCACTAACCCTAATCACCAACCCTAACCACTAACCCTAATCACCAACCCTAACCACTATCCCCAATCACCAACCCTAACCACTAACCCTAATCACCAACCCTAACCACTATCCCCAATCACCAACCCTAACCACTATCCCCAATCACCAACCCTAACCACTATCCCTAATCACCTACCCTAACCACTATCCACAATCACCAACCCTAACCACTATCCACAATCACCTACCCTAACCACTATCCCCAATCACCAACCCTAACCACTATCCACAATCACCTACCCTAACCACTATCCCCAATCACCAACCCTAACCACTATCCCCAATCACCTACCCTAACCACTATCCACAATCACCTACCCTAACCACTATCCCCAATCCCCAACCCTAACCACTATCCCCAATCACCTACCCTAACCACTATCCCCAATCACCTACCCTAACCACTATCCCCAATCACCTACCCTAACCACTATCCCCAATCACCTACCATAACCACTATCCCCAATCACCTACCCTAACCACTATCCCCAATCACCAACCCTAACCACTATCCCCAATCACCTACCCTAACCACTATCCCCAATCACCTACCCTAACCACTATCCCCAATCACCTACCCTAACCACTATCCCCAATCACCTACCCTAACCACTATCCACAATCACCTACCCTAACCACTATCCACAATCACCTACCCTAACCACTATCCCTAATCACCAACCCTAACCACTATCCACAATCACCTACCCTAACCACTATCCCCAATCACCAACCCTAACCACTATCCCCAATCACCTACCCTAACCACTATCCACAATCACCTACCCTAACCACTATCCCCAATCACCAACCCTAACCACTATCCCCAATCACCTACCCTAACCACTATCCCCAATCACCTACCCTAACCACTATCCCCAATCACCAACCCTAACCACTATCCCTAATCACCTACCCTAACCACTATCCCCAATCACCTACCCTAACCACTATCCCCAATCACCAATCCTAACCACTATCCCTAACCACTAAGATGGAGTCTTCTGCTATTTATTATCGGACGCCAAAAACAGATCAGAGGAGGTGAAGAAATCAGGCCTTTAGACACATCTGGCCATAATTATCTCTTCATTCGAGAATATTAGTTCACATCAACTCACCCTAAAATCTTCACAACCTTGTGTTTGCAGAGCTCTTCAGCCAGAACCTCAATGCTTCTGTCTGATAGGTTATTGACCGACAATCTGTGGGCAGGAAAGACAAGAACAGAGCAGTACATTAAAAAGATGGAATATCTGTAAGCAGAGGTTAGGAAAAACAGGCCATGAAATCCCATCCAGTCTAAAACATCAGCAGACCCCCTGGGTGAGTACTGAGGGGTCCAATGAAAGCCCACCACTTCAACATGGATCCTTGATCCAACACACCTGAACATGATGACTAAACCGCCTCTGAACGCCATCGAGTTCTAGAACAGGATGAATAATCTGCCTCGGAATGTCATCGACTTCTAGAACAGGATGAATATTCCGCCTCAGAACGCCATCAAGTTCTACAACAGGATGAATAAACCGCCTTAGAACGCCATCGAGTTAGGGACCATGATGAATAATCTGCCTCGGAACGCCATCGAGTTCTAGAACATGATGACTAAACCACATCAGAACGCCATCGAGTTCTAGAACACGATGACTAAACCACATCAGAACGCCATCGAGTTCTAGAACACGATGACTAAACCACATCAGAACGCCATCGAGTTCTAGAACATGATGACTAAACCACATCAGAACGCCATCAAGTTCTAGAACACGATGACTAAACCACATCAGAACGCCATCGAGTTCTAGAACACAATGACTAAACCACATCAGAACGCCATCGAGTTCTGGAACATGATGAATAATCTGCCTCAGAACGCCATCGAGTTCTAGAACAGGATGAATATTCCGCCTCAGAACGCCATCGAGTTAGGGACCATGATGAATAATCTGCCTCGGAACGCCATCGAGTTCTAGAACATGATGACTAAACCACATCAGAACGCCATCGAGTTCTAGAACACAATGACTAAACCACATCAGAATGCCATCGAGTTCTAGAACACGATGACTAAACCACATCAGAACGCCATCGAGTTCTAGAACACGATGACTAAACCACATCAGAACGCCATCGAGTTCTGGAACATGATGAATAATCTGCCTCAGAACGCCATCGAGTTCTAGAACAGGATGAATATTCCGCCTCAGAACGCCATCGAGTTAGGGACCATGATGAATAATCTGCCTCGGAACGCCATCGAGTTCTAGAATATGATGACTAAACCACATCAGAACGCCATCGAGTTCTAGAACACGATGACTAAACCACATCAGAACGCCATCGAGTTCTAGAACACGATGACTAAACCACATCAGAACGCCATCGAGTTCTAGAACACGATGACTAAACCACATCAGAACGCCATCGAGTTCTGGAAAATGATGAATAATCTGCCTCAGAACGCCATCGAGTTCTAGAGCATGATAAATAATTCGCCTCAGAACGCCATCAAGTTCTGGAACATGATGACTAAACCGCATCAGAACGCCATTGAGTTCTAGAACAGGATGAATAAACCGCCTCAGAACACCATCGAGTTCTAGAACACGATGACTAAACCACATCAGAACGCCATCGAGATCTAGAACAGGATGAATAAACCGCCTCAGAACGCCATCGAGTTCTAGAACAGGATGAATAAACCACATCAGAACGCCATCGAGTTCTGGAAAATGATGAATAATCTGCCTCAGAACGCCATCGAGTTCTAGAGCATGATAAATAATTCGCCTCAGAACGCCATCAAGTTCTGGAACATGATGACTAAACCGCATCAGAACGCCATTGAGTTCTAGAACAGGATGAATAAACCGCCTCAGAACACCATCGAGTTCTAGAACATGAAGAATAAACCGGCTCAGAACGCCATCGAGATCTAGAACAGGATGAATAAACCGCCTCAGAACGCCATCGAGTTCTAGAACAGGATGAATAAACCGCCTCAGAACGCCATTGAGTTCTAGAACAGGATGAATAAACCGCCTCAGAACGGCATCGAGTTCTAGAACAGAATGAATAAACCGCCTCAGAACGCCATCGAGTTCTAGAACAGGATGAATAATCCACCTCAGAACACCATCGAGTTCTAGAACATGATTAATAAACCGCCTCAGAACGCCATTGAGTTCTAGAACATGATGAATAATCCACCTCAGAGCGCCATCGAGTTCTAGAACATGATAAATAATCCGCATCAGAACGCCATCGAGTTCTAGAACACAATGACTAACCGCCTCAGAACGCCATCGAGTTCTAGAACATGATGAATAATCCGCCTCAGAACGCCATTGAGTTCTAGAACATGATGAATAATCCACCTCAGAACGGCATCGAGTTCTAGAACAGGATGAATAATCCACCTCAGAACGCCATCGAGTTCTAAAACATGATGAATAAACTGCCTCAGAACGCCATTGAGTTCTAGAACATGAAGAACAAACCGGCTCAGAGCGCCATCGAGTTCTAGAACAGGATGAATAAACCGCCTCAGAACGCCATCTAGTTCTAGAACATGATAAATATCCACCTCAGAACGCCATCGAGTTCTAGAGCAGGATGAATAATCCACCTCAGAACGCCATCGAGTTCTAAAACATGATGAATAAACTGCCTCAGAACGCCATTGAGTTCTAGAACATGATGAATAATCCAGCTCAGAGTGCCATCGAGTTCTAGAACATGAAGAACAAACCGGCTCAGAACGCCATCGAGTTCTAGAACAGGATGAATAAACCGCATCAGAACGCCATAGAGTTCTGGAACATGATGAATAATCTGCCTCAGAACGCCATCGAGTTCTAGAACAGGATGAATATTCCGCCTCAGAACGCCATCGAGTTAGGGACCATGATGAATAATCTGCCTCGGAACGCCATCGAGTTCTAGAACATGATGACTAAACCACATCAGAACGCCATCGAGTTCTAGAACACAATGACTAAACCACATCAGAATGCCATCGAGTTCTAGAACACGATGACTAAACCACATCAGAACGCCATCGAGTTCTAGAACACGATGACTAAACCACATCAGAACGCCATCGAGTTCTGGAACATGATGAATAATCTGCCTCAGAACGCCATCGAGTTCTAGAACAGGATGAATATTCCGCCTCAGAACGCCATCGAGTTAGGGACCATGATGAATAATCTGCCTCGGAACGCCATCGAGTTCTAGAATATGATGACTAAACCACATCAGAACGCCATCGAGTTCTAGAACACGATGACTAAACCACATCAGAACGCCATCGAGTTCTAGAACACGATGACTAAACCACATCAGAACGCCATCGAGTTCTAGAACACGATGACTAAACCACATCAGAACGCCATCGAGTTCTGGAAAATGATGAATAATCTGCCTCAGAACGCCATCGAGTTCTAGAGCATGATAAATAATTCGCCTCAGAACGCCATCAAGTTCTGGAACATGATGACTAAACCGCATCAGAACGCCATTGAGTTCTAGAACAGGATGAATAAACCGCCTCAGAACACCATCGAGTTCTAGAACATGAAGAATAAACCGGCTCAGAACGCCATCGAGATCTAGAACAGGATGAATAAACCGCCTCAGAACGCCATCGAGTTCTAGAACAGGATGAATAAACCGCCTCAGAACGCCATTGAGTTCTAGAACAGGATGAATAAACCGCCTCAGAACGGCATCGAGTTCTAGAACAGAATGAATAAACCGCCTCAGAACGCCATCGAGTTCTAGAACAGGATGAATAATCCACCTCAGAACACCATCGAGTTCTAGAACATGATTAATAAACCGCCTCAGAACGCCATTGAGTTCTAGAACATGATGAATAATCCACCTCAGAGCGCCATCGAGTTCTAGAACATGATAAATAATCCGCATCAGAACGCCATCGAGTTCTAGAACACAATGACTAACCGCCTCAGAACGCCATCGAGTTCTAGAACATGATGAATAATCCGCCTCAGAACGCCATTGAGTTCTAGAACATGATGAATAATCCACCTCAGAACGGCATCGAGTTCTAGAACAGGATGAATAATCCACCTCAGAACGCCATCGAGTTCTAAAACATGATGAATAAACTGCCTCAGAACGCCATTGAGTTCTAGAACATGAAGAACAAACCGGCTCAGAGCGCCATCGAGTTCTAGAACAGGATGAATAAACCGCCTCAGAACGCCATCTAGTTCTAGAACATGATAAATATCCACCTCAGAACGCCATCGAGTTCTAGAACAGGATGAATAATCCACCTCAGAACGCCATCGAGTTCTAAAACATGATGAATAAACTGCCTCAGAACGCCATTGAGTTCTAGAACATGATGAATAATCCAGCTTAGAGTGCCATCGAGTTCTAGAACATGAAGAACAAACCGGCTCAGAGCGCCATCGAGTTCTAGAACAGGATGAATAAACCGCCTCAGAACGCCATCGAGTTCTAGAACATGATGAATAATCCGCCTCAGAACGCCATTGAGTTCTAGAACATGATGTATAATCCGTCTCAGAACGCCATTGAGTTCTAGAACAGGATGAATAATCCGCCTCAGAACGCCATCGAGTTCTAGAACAGGATGAATAAACCGCCTTAGAACGCCATCGAGTTCTAGAACAGGATGAATAAACCGCCTCAGAGTGCCATCGAGTTCTAGAACAGGATGAATAAACCGCCTCAGAGCGCCATTGAGTTCTAGAACAAGATGAATCTGAAGCAGAGACGCACCTGAAGGATGCAGGGGCCTCAGTGACTCCAGTTTGGGGACATCTGGGGACTTTCAGGCCTACTTCCTGCTTCTGTTTTCACATAAAAACGCAATAAAGGGGCAGACTGAAGCTGAGGGTACTTCCTCCACTTCAGAAATGTTTTTCTGTTTATTCTGACTTCAGTTGTGTAACGTTTAAGAGGAAGTGGAATATTGTAATCTAATGAAGGCAGGGTTTGATGAGTTTGATCCCACAGCTGCTGGTAAACCCTGTGATGTAGAAATAATGATGATAGCAGATAAAGGTGAAATCTCTTTCTCAGGATGAAGAACATGCTGACGGCTTCCATGCCTTTAAAGCTCAAGTCTGAGTCTAGATTTAAAAATTTAAGTTTATGGTTTTTGGAGCAGATTCACCACTTAGACTGAACTTTTTCCTCTTTCTTCACATCCTGAAAAAGAGAAACAGACTGTTGGCCTGTGGGCGGAGCCACAGGTCTAACCCAAACCACAGTCAGCTATCTGCGTGGAAAACACGTCAGATCGACACTGGAAGCCGCTGGAACGCCTGAACTTCAGAAGGCTGTGTGTCTTAAAACAGATGCAAACATGTTTGGGCAGATCAGACCTTTGAATGGCTGACAGCGTGTTCCAACGTTTTCTGCGTCACTATGCAGATCATATTCTGATGACCAGATTCATCTTTCTAGATGTGACGCCACATCAGAGTTTAGTTCCTCTCTCCACTCAAAGAGGATTATGTTTCACAGATTTGCATCAACAGGAATGTATCTTTCCTCTTTATATTCATCCATCTTATAACTTTATTTTTTCACTTTTGTTCATAGGATAAAAGAATATTAGTATATTCTAGTATATTTTATAAATATTTTTAATGGCATTACCTAATGCTCCTTTCATCCAATTATTAGCATTTCATTTTTTTCTCATAACCTCTCCTGTAACTCCAAATAAACACATCTATTATTAAATTAATCTTTTAATGAATGTGGTAATGCCTCAATCATGTCCTCCTGTTAGACAGAGAGGGAGGCCAGAGTCCACAATAAGTCTCCTTTGGTTCAGATTTCAGCTCAGACCTGTATATAAGCCATCTGGATTGTACATATTTTTATTTCTTATTTTTTTATTTCTTATTTTCATTTGTTTTTCATTGTGTGTGATACATGTACACTTGCACCTTAATCCTATTTATCTTGATATACTGTATATATATATTGCTTATTCTTAATGCACCTTTTTCCTCCTTGTTTGCACCTTCAGTAACTTCTATGCCAATATGTGACGAGTGAATTTCTCCACTGTGAGATCAATAAAGCTCATCTAATCTAATCTAATCTAATCTAATCTAATCTAGATGTTTGTCAATAAAAAGGGAAATGATCTGATATTCAGCTCTGCTCAGGCGACACTGACTATATTTAGTTTCTGCCACCTCGTTACTGTCCTCTGCACGACCCAATGGACCCATTTGACCACTGGACCCATTGGACACACTGGACCTATTTGACCACCGGACCTATTGAACACACTGGACCCATTGGCCCCACTGGACCTATTAGACCACTGGACCCACTGGACCTATTTGACCACTGGACCCATTGGACCTATTTGACCACTGGACCCACTGGACCTATTTGACCACTGGACCTATTTGACCACTGGACCTATTTGACCTACTGGACCTATTGGACCCACTGGACCTATTTGACCACTGGATCCATTGGACCTATTTGACCACTGGACCTATTTGACCTACTGGACCTATTTGACCACTGGACCTATTTGACCTACTGGACCTATTGGACCCACTGGACCTATTTGACCACTGGACCCATTGGACCTATTTGACCACTGGACCTATTTGACCTACTGGACCTATTTGACCACTGGACCTATTTGACCTACTGGACCTATTGGACCCACTGGACCTATATGACCACTGGACCTATTGGACCCACTGGACCTATTTGACCCACTGGACCTATTGGACCCACTGGACCTATTTGACCCACTGGACCTATTGGACCCACTGGACCTATTGGACCCAATGGACCTATTGGACACACTGGACCTATTGGACCCACTGGACCTATTGGACCCACTGGACGCATTTGACCACTGCACCTACTGGACCCACTGGACCCATTATACCCACTGGAACTATTGGATCCACTGGACGCATTTGACCACTGCACCTACTGGACCCACTGGACCCATTATACCCACTGGAACTATTGGATCCACTGGACAAATTGGACCCACTGGACCCATCGAACACACTGAACCTATTGGACCTATTAGACCCAGTGGACCTATTGGACCCACTGGACCTATTTGACCATTGGACCTATTGGACCTACTGGACCTATTTGACCACTGGACCCATTATACCCACTGGAACTATTGGATCCACTGGACCTATTTGACCACTGGACCCATTGGACCTATTTGACCACTGGACCCATTGAACCTACTTGACCTTTTGGACCCAATGGACCTATTTGACCACTGGACCTATTGGACCCACTGGACCCATTATACCCACTGGAACTATTGGATCCACTGGACAAATTAGACTCACTGGACCTATTTGACCACTGGACCTAAAGGACCCACTGGACCTATATGACCACTGGACCTATTCGACCACTGGACCCATTCGACCACTGGACCTTTTCCACCACTGGACCTATTGGACCCACTGGACCTATTTTACCACTGGACCTATTGGACCCAGTGGACCTATTTGACCACTGGACCCAGTGGACGTATTGGACCCATTGGACCTATTTGACCACTGGAACCATTGGACCCAGTGGACTTATTGGACACACTGGACCTATTGGACCCACTGGACCTATTTGACCACTGGACCTATTGGACCCAGTGGACTTATTGGACACACTGGACCTATTGGACCCACTGGACCTATTTGACCACTGGACACACTGGACCCATTGGACACACTGGACCTATTGGACCCACTGGACCTATTGGACCCACTGGACCCATTGGACACACTGGAGCTATTGGATACACTGGAGCTATTGGACACACTGGAGCTATTGGACCCACTGGACCCATTGGACACACTGGAGCTATTGGACACACTGGAGCTATTGAACTTACTGGACCTATTGGACCCAATGGACCTATTTGACCACTGGACCTGTTGGACCCAATGGACGTATTTGACCTACTGGACCTATTGGACCCACTGGACCTATTGGATCCACTGGACCTATTGGACACACTGGACCTATTGGACACACTGGACCTATTTGACCACTGGACCTACTGGACACACTGGACCTATTTGACCACTGGACCTACTGGACACACTGGACCTATTTGACCACTGGACCTATTTGACCCACTGGACCTATTTGACCCACTGGACTTACATAACTGGGTGATTACTGGGTTTCTGCAGCCATTGGTGGTTGCTTAGGAGGAAATGACATAATTTGACACAGGTGTCCTGGAGCAGAAATCCTTCTAGGATGTTTATGATGTAAGAGATGAGGACAGAGGGTCCTGAGGACGGATACTTAGCAGAAGCGCCTATAATTGAGAAGAATGGCAAGGATTCAGAAAACTGTTAAACTGAGACTGAAGGACACCAGGAAGGTGATGGAAAACGGACAGGCTAACATCCTGTTGGTTCCTAGTGGTGGAGACCAGTCTGCTTGGCCTCTACTTCAGATGTTTGATGATCTAATCAATAAAAAGGAACATTGAAAGATATAGAGATCAAACACCCTTCTTACTTCACTGCCGTCATCTTAGAAAACGAGGGCTGCAGCTGCTTGACCCCATAGTCACTGATGTTGTTGTTGTCCATGTCCAGACCCAGCAGCTTCTGCCGGTGCTGCAGCACAAAGTTGATGGCAGTGCAGTCCCCTGAGAAGACATTACAGTAGCCAAGCTTGATGAAGTTGGCCGTGATGCCTTTGGCCGTCATTTTAGCGATGTCTTTGCTCCCCGTCTCAAAGATGCACCGTAGAATCCAAAGGAAGTTTGGCAGGACATGAACTTTCTGGCCTTCCTCACCGTTATAATGGGGTAAGCCCTCCAGGTGGACCTTCACACTGGTGGACAGGTAGGCCTTCAGCAGGGCCCTTTTTCTCTTTAACAGAACGGGAGAGAGCAGAGTTCCCATGAGAGCAGCCTGAGTCTTTGACAGCAAGCCACAAAGGAACAGGTTGGTGAACTGCAGTTGCTCGTTGGTCGAGAACGGCTTCTTCTCGCTGGGCTTCATTGAGCTGCCGATGCAGGATGCTAACGGCAGACAGAACGTCTCCCTCCGTCTGCTGCACTCTGCAAAGAACTTGAGGATGGAGCTGGCCGAGGTCTGCTCGTCCAACACTAGAGCAAAGGCAGCCAAGAAGGACTGGAGCGTAATGTGGATGAACTCGAAGGTAGCGGGAGCTTCACTGGCGTCAAAGTCATGGACGGGTCTGAGGAAGCCCAGAGCCATGTCGTCCTCGGTTAGACCGCACTCAGCCAGCTGCTCCCGGCTGCACAGAAAGCTTCCTCTCTCCAGACCCTGCAGGGCAAGCTTAGCAAAGGCAGCCAGCGGCCTGAGCCCCACCCTGAAGGTCTCTGAGATGCAGCGGGTGCTTTTCTTTAGCAGAGGAGAAGGAGCGGCGGCCAGGCGGCTGAGGAAGACCTCCGACAGCAGGAGAAAGATGTCTGTTAGTGTGATGCTGTTCTCAGACAGGTGGAAGATGTCATGCATGGTGTGCAGGTGCCTGAAGCTTTTGAAGACGATCCAGGAGAACAGGGGGGTGGAGCACAGACCACAGAGGTGGGGGCTGGCATCCAGCTGGACGGACACCAGCTCTCGGTGCTCCTGCTCCCTGAAGTGCAGCTTGATGTACGTCTTCAGGTGGTCTGGAGAAAATCCACGCAGAACCACTTTCTTCCTGATGACTCGACTCTGCATCTCGATCCCAGTGCGAGTCGTCAGGACCTTCTTGGAGCCTTTGAGCAGTTTTCCACTGAGCAAGCTGAGGAGCAACTGAAGGGCGTCTGCTTTGTCCTCCGGAGATACGACCTCAGGAACATTAATCAGGTCCAGGTCCTCCTGAATTTCATCGTAGCCGTCAAAGGTGAACAGAACCTTCTCAGGGAAGCGCAGGATGTAATCGAAGACTTCGTTCTCTGGATCGTGATCCGGGTAACAGTTGTATTTGAACAGCAGGTCTCTGAGGGACATCTGCTCTGCCTCCCTGAAGGTGCTGAACATCCGGCAGCGAAACTTGAAAAAGAAGCTGGCGTCTGTCTGCAGCTCCTTTTTGGACCAGAGGTTCTGGAGCTTCTGCAGAAGGATGGACTTTCCAACGCCAGCGTCCCCCACCACATAGATGATTTCCCCTTGGGGGTTAAAAACGCCGTCGTCTCCCAGCAGCTGGTCCAGACTCTCCAAGAAGCCCAGACTCTCGTTACAGTCATTGATCATCTCCATCACCGTGTCCGTGTAGAGCTCCTCCAGCCGCGTCTCGTCCTGCTGACCGTAGGACAGGATGAAGCAGGTGTCTCTGCTCATCTCATGGCGTAGCTTCTCACTATACCTGCTGACTGGAGGACAAGAAAGTTCTCTGAGTGTCTGAGCAACTATTAAACAATGAAATCAGTCTATTGGCAGCTACTAATGTCCAACAGTAGATACTGAAACGGTTCCTACATGCAGAGGCGTAGCTAGAACATTTTTAAAAGGGTGCCCAGACAATAACCAGTGTATACTGAGGGGGGGCCAAACGTGGAAAGGCACCAGAACCTCAGGGTCAATCTACAAGAACAACGTCCATATTTCTAAATAAAGACAAACTATAGTTTCCTTTGCTAACAAAGATGCATATATTCAAACATCTATATTAAACATATAGATGAAAACTATATTGGATAAAATTCTTTCAGGTTTGAGTTCTGGAGTGAACATCTTTTCCATAGTCATTACTTACCTACGTTTATCAATAATCATTCAGCATCAAATTGGTATTTACAAGTACTAATATCTACATAAAATTATCATTTATTAGGTTTTTAATTAAAATAGTTATTTACAGTATCTATGATTTCACAGAAGACTCTTCGATGACCTGCAGAAACATCATTTTCTCTTTATGGCATAAAACACAAAATTTAGTTCTGAAAGAGCAGGAATTCTGTACTAATCATCTAATGTTGGTACATTGATGTGGATAATTAACCACAGTGTTTTTGTTGTCAAGTAATTGTTAATATATATGAAATTATTTTTTTAATATTCTACTTGAGAGAAAAAAATGGTGTCTGGTTCCTACGTGTCTGGTTCCTACGTGTCTGGTTCTTACGTGTCTGGTTCTTACGTGTCTGGTTCCTACGTGTCTGGTTCCTACGTGTCTGGTTCCCAGTGTCTGGTTCCTACGTGTCTGGTTCCCAGTGTCTGGTTCCTACGTGTCTGGTTCCCAGTGTCTGGTTCCTACGTGTCTGGTTCCTACGTGTCTGGTTCCTACGTATCCGGTTCCTACGTGTCCGGTTCCCAGTGTCTGGTTCCTACGTATCCGGTTCCTACGTGTCCGGTTCCTACGTGTCCGGTTCCTACGTGTCCGGTTCCTACGTGTCTGGTTCCTACGTGTCTGGTTCTTACGTGTCCGGTTCCTACGTGTCTGATTCCTACGTGTCTGGTTCTTACGTGTCTGGTTCTTACGTGTCTGGTTCTTATGTGTCTGGTTCCTACGTGTCTGGTTCCTAGGTGTCTGGTTCCTAGGTGTCTGGTTCCTACGTGTCTGATTCTTACGTGTCTGGTTCTTACGTGTCTGGTTCCTACGTGTCTGGTTCTTACGTGTCTGGTTCCTACGTGTCTGGTTCCTACGTGTCTGGTTCCTACCAGGCCAGACCGCCTCAGTACCTGAGAGTGCAGCAGTGCTTGGCTAACTTCAGATGTTTCCCAACCAGAAGCCCTGAATGAACAAGAAGGTGCAGGAACTGCTGAAGGATGGGAAAAGGGGATCTGGGGACCGGGACCTGTGCCCTGATCTAAGGAGGGACATCAGTGAGGTGAATCAGGAGCAGAAGCCGCAGTGGGAAGGGGTCCAGCTCAAGGGAAGCCCCGTGGCAGAGGAGCTGCTGCTGATTTTAGGAGCCCCCGCCACAGCCTCAAGCTAACTGTGCAGGAACAGGAAGTGAAGAGAACTGTGAGGGCAGAGAAAGGGGATGGGGGGGAGGGAAACTGCTGGACCTGACGGAGGAGTCAGGGAGGAGTCAGGATCTCCAGGCTTAATGTGGGACAGCAGAGCCATGAATCAGTGCAGACTTTGCCATGCCTCCATGGAGTCTGGGACACTTACTGGGGTCGGTGTTCACCACTTTCATCTCTCTGATTTCTCTGCTGGGCTTGTAGTTGATCTCCAGCAGCCACGGCTGCAGGTCGATGTACGCATCACGTATTTCATACAGGATGAACAGGAAGTATTCACAGGCTTCCTCTCCTTTGCACTGAACCAGCTCCAGGATTTTGCGCACCTAAAACATGACGACAGCATTTCCGTTGGCTTTTAGAAGATGCTTTCAGGGTATTTAGAGGAAAGAGAACCGACCTGATCTGGTTTGGTGGCGGTTCGTTGAACGATCTCCACATCTTCCTGACAGAAGAAGCCGCTTCCCAGCAGGTTATCCAGGACGCACTGAATGCTCCTGAGCGTGGACACCAGCAGCTCCCTGTGGCACGTCAGGAGGCTTAGATACGACACCATGACTTCCTCCGCCTGACCCATGTTCACCGCAGCTTTCTAGCTGTAGCAGGACAACAAAGTTAGTTTGAGGATGAAATGTTCCTGAAGGAGAAGACGGCTTCATTCAGACAGAGCGGCTACTTCCTGGAAGTTTAATGACTCTTTGCTATTCAGGTCATTTTAATGTCGGAAATAAATAAAATCATTCCTGAAATACAGATAACGGTAAAACATCCTGAAAAAATTCAGCAGAACCATCATCATTATGTCTGATCGGGTAGTTTTATAATCTGTAAATAATCCCAATGTTCTTTAAATCCAACTCTGTGTGTAATCTGACTGCCCTCACACTAAACCAGTCATCTGCTGCAGATACGATTCATCTAGAACCTGCTGCTGCTGCAGATACGATTCATCTAGAACCTGCTGCTGCTGCAGATACGATTCATCTAGAACCACCAGCTGCTGCTGCAGATACGATTCATCTAGAACCACAAGCTGCTGCTGCAGATACGATTCATCTAGAACCACGAGCTGCTGCTGCAGATACGATTAATCTAGAACCACCTGCTGCTGCTGCAGATATGATTCATCTAGAACCACGAGCTGCTGCTGCAGATACGATTCATCTAGAACCAGCTGCTGCTGCTGCAGATACGATTCATCTAGAACCACGAGCTGCTGCTGCAGATACGATTCATCTAGAACCAGCTGCTGCTGCTGCAGATACGATACATCTAGAACCAGCAGCTAGTGCTGCAGATACGATTAATCTAGAACCACCTGCTGCTGCAGAAACGATTCATCTAGAACCAGCAGCTGCTGCTGCAGATACGATTAATTTAGAACCACCTGCTGCTGCTGCAGATATGATTCATCTAGAACCACCAGCTGCTGCTGCAGATACGATTCATCTAGAACCACCAGCTGCTGCTGCAGATACGATTCATCTAGAACCAGCTGCTGCTGCAGATACGATTCATCTAGAACCAGCTGCTGCTGCAGATACAATTCATCTAGAACCACCTGCTGCTATAGATACGATTCATCTAGAACCATCTGCTGCTGCTGATATGATTCATCTAGAACCAGCTGCTGTAGATACGATTCATCTAGAACCACCTGCTGCTGTAGATACGATTCATCTAGAACCATCTGCTGCTGCTGCAGATGCGATTCATCTAGAACCACCTGCTGCTGCTGATGCGATTCATCTAGAACCACCAGCTGCTGCTGTAGATACGATTCATCTAGAACCACCTGCTGCTGCAGATACGATTCATCTAGAACCACCTGCTGCTGTAGATACGATTCATCTAGAACCACCAGCTGCTGCTGCAGATACGATTCATCTAGAACCACCTGCTGCTGCAGAAACGATTCATCTAGAACCAGCAGCTGCTGCTGCAGATACGATTAATCTAGAACCACCTGCTGCTGCTGCAGATATGATTCATCTAGAACCACCAGCTGCTGCTGCAGATACGATTCATCTAGAACCACCAGCTGCTGCTGCAGATACGATTCATCTAGAACCAGCTGCTGCTGCAGATACGATTCATCTAGAACCAGCTGCTGCTGCAGATACAATTCATCTAGAACCACCTGCTGCTATAGATACGATTCATCTAGAACCATCTGCTGCTGCTGATATGATTCATCTAGAACCAGCTGCTGTAGATACGATTCATCTAGAACCACCTGCTGCTGTAGATACGATTCATCTAGAACCATCTGCTGCTGCTGCAGATGCGATTCATCTAGAACCACCTGCTGCTGCTGATACGATTCATCTAGAACCACCAGCTGCTGCTGTAGATACGATTCATCTAGAACCACCTGCTGCTGCAGATACGATTCATCTAGAACCACCTGCTGCTGTAGATACGATTCATCTAGAACCACCAGCTGCTGCTGCAGATACGATTCATCTAGAACCACCTGCTGCTGCAGAAACGATTCATCTAGAACCACCAGCTGCTGCTGCAGATACGATTCATCTAGAACCAGCTGCTGCTGCAGATACGATTCATCTAGAACCAGCTGCTGCTGCAGATACAATTCATCTAGAACCACCTGCTGCTATAGATACGATTCATCTAGAACCATCTGCTGCTGCTGATATGATTCATCTAGAACCGGCTGCTGTAGATACGATTCATCTAGAACCACCTGCTGCTGTAGATACGATTCATCTAGAACCATCTGCTGCTGCTGCAGATGCGATTCATCTAGAACCACCTGCTGCTGCAGATACGATTCATCTAGAACCACCTGCTGCTGTAGATACGATTCATCTAGAACCACCAGCTGCTGCTGCAGATACGATTCATCTAGAACCACCTGCTGCTGCAGAAACGATTCATCTAGAACCAGCAGCTGCTGCTGCAGATACGATTAATCTAGAACCACCTGCTGCTGCTGCAGATACGATTCATCTAGAACCACCAGCTGCTGCTGCAGATACGATTCATCTAGAACCACCTGCTGCTGCTGCAGATACGATTCATCTAGAACCACCTGCTGCTGCTCCAGATACGATTCATCTAGAACCACCAGCTGCTGCTGCAGATACGATTCATCTAGAACCACCTGCTGCTGTAGATACGATTCATCTAGAACCATCTGCTGCTGCTGCAGATGCGATTCATCTAGAACCACCAGCTGCTGCTGCAGATACGATTCATCTAGAACCACCTGCTGCTGCTGCAGATACGATTCATCTAGAACCACCTGCTGCTGCTGCAGATACGATTCATCTAGAACCACCTGCTGCTGCTGCAGATACGATTCATCTAGAACCAGCTGCTGCTGCAGATACGATTCATCTAGAACCACCTGCTGCTGATACGATTCATCTAGAACCACCTGCTGCTGCAGATACGATTCATCTAGAACCACCTGCTGCTGCAGATACGATTCATCTAGAACCACCTGCTGCTGCTGCAGATACGATTCATCTAGAACCAGCTGCTGCTGCAGATACGATTCATCTAGAACCACCTGCTGCTGCTGCAGATACGATTCATCTAGAACCAGCTGCTGCTGCTGCAGATACAATTCATCTAGAACCACCTCCTGCTGCAGATACGATTCATCTAGAACCCCCTGCTGCTGCAGATACGATTCATCTAGAACCACCTGCTGCTGCAGATACGATTCATCTAGAACCACCTGCTGCTGCAGATACGATTCATCTAGAACCAGCTGCTGCTGCAGATACGATTCATCTAGAACCACCTGCTGCTGCTGCAGATACGATTCATCTAGAACCAGCTGCTGCTGCAGATACGATTCATCTAGAACCACCTGCTGCTGCTGCAGATACGATTCATCTAGAACCAGCTGCTGCTGCTGCAGATACGATTCATCTAGAACCACCTGCTGCTGCTGCAGATACGATTCATCTAGAACCACCTGCTGCTGCTGCAGATACGATTCATCTAGAACCAGCTGCTGCTGCTGCAGATACGATTCATCTAGAACCACCAGCTGCTGCTGCAGATACGATTCATCTAGAACCACCTGCTGCTGCTCCAGATACGATTCATCTAGAACCACCAGCTGCTGCTGCAGATACGATTCATCTAGAACCACCTGCTGCTGTAGATACGATTCATCTAGAACCATCTGCTGCTGCTGCAGATGCGATTCATCTAGAACCACCAGCTGCTGCTGCAGATACGATTCATCTAGAACCACCTGCTGCTGCTGCAGATACAATTCATCTAGAACCACCTGCTGCTGCTGCAGATATGATTCATCTAGAACCACCTGCTGCTGCTGCAGATACAATTCATCTAGAACCACCTGCTGCTGCTGCAGATACGATTCATCTAGAACCAGCTGCTGCTGCTGCAGATACAATTCATCTAGAACCACCTGCTGCTGCTGCAGATATGATTCATCTAGAACCACCTGCTGCTGCTGCAGATACAATTCATCTAGAACCACCTGCTGCTGCTGCAGATACGATTCATCTAGAACCAGCTGCTGCTGCAGATACGATTCATCTAGAACCACCTGCTGCTGATACGATTCATCTAGAACCACCTGCTGCTGCAGATACGATTCATCTAGAACCACCTGCTGCTGCAGATACGATTCATCTAGAACCACCTGCTGCTGCTGCAGATACGATTCATCTAGAACCAGCTGCTGCTGCAGATACGATTCATCTAGAACCACCTGCTGCTGCTGCAGATACGATTCATCTAGAACCAGCTGCTGCTGCTGCAGATACAATTCATCTAGAACCACCTCCTGCTGCAGATACGATTCATCTAGAACCACCTGCTGCTGCAGATACGATTCATCTAGAACCACCTGCTGCTGCAGATACGATTCATCTAGAACCACCTGCTGCTGCAGATACGATTCATCTAGAACCAGCTGCTGCTGCAGATACGATTCATCTAGAACCACCTGCTGCTGCTGCAGATACGATTCATCTAGAACCAGCTGCTGCTGCAGATACGATTCATCTAGAACCACCTGCTGCTGCTGCAGATACGATTCATCTAGAACCAGCTGCTGCTGCTGCAGATACAATTCATCTAGAACCACCTCCTGCTGCAGATACGATTCATCTAGAACCACCTGCTGCTGCAGATACGATTCATCTAGAACCACCTGCTGCTGCAGATACGATTCATCTAGAACCACCTGCTGCTGCTGCAGATACGATTCATCTAGAACCAGCTGCTGCTGCAGATACGATTCATCTAGAACCACCTACTGCTGCTGCAGATACGATTCATCTAGAACCAGCTGCTGCTGCTGCAGATACGATTCATCTAGAACCACCTGCTGCTGCAGATACGATTCATCTAGAACCACCTGCTGCTGCAGATACGATTCATCTAGAACCACCTGCTGCTGCAGATACAATTAATCTAGAACCACCTCCTGCTGCAGATACGATTCATCTAGAACCACCTGCTGCTGCTCCAGATACGATTCATCTAGAACCACCTGCTGCTGCAGATACGATTCATCTAGAACCACCTGCTGCTGCAGATACAATTAATCTAGAACCACCTCCTGCTGCAGATACGATTCATCTAGAACCACCTACTGCTGCTGCAGATACGATTCATCTAGAACCACCTGCTGCTGCCGCAGATACGATTCATCTAGAACCACCTCCTGCTGCAGATACGATTCATCTAGAACCACCTGCTGCTGCTGCAGATACGATTCATCTAGAAC